ATAACTATATAGTAAATTTAGTACTAATACTACTTACTACGTCAAACTACAAGAGAATACAGCATCATATATATATATATATATATATATATATATATATATATATGAATGGATTCTGTCAGCCCAAAGGCTAACAACTATAGTGTCAGCCAATAGGCCAGATTGAATCTGCGTCGATTGGATAGTTACAACTTCATTTCGTATTTGAATTTTCTTTTTTTTTTTATCAATACAAATCACTTGAAATTTTTAGCGTCAATTCTTTAAAAATAGGAGAATCTAATAAAAATATAAAACAAATAATATACAAATAATAAATTGACCAAAATATCCCCTAAATTGTTTAGGGGTATTTTTGATCAATTTATCTTTTACGAATTAGTTTTTTTAATATTTTTACTAGGTGCACCGTGATGAGAATAATAAACATCTAAAATTTCAAGTGATTTAGATTTGTAGCAAAAAATAAAAATTCAAATATAAATTGAAGTCATAGCCTTCAGTTAGGTCCATATTCAATTTGGGCCATTGACTAACATTATAGCTATTTGCCCATGGGTTGACTTGATCCATTCCACACATATATATATATATATATATAAAGAGAGAGAGAGAGAGAGAGTTCAGTGTTGTAGCAAGTGATAGCATTTTGCAGGATCATCAAACTACAATGCACTTAGACACATGGCTGCAATCACCCATTTTGTTGATGTAATCCTTAGTCCTATTGAGGTTACTCCTAATCTTTTCAAACACCAACTTTCGTATTAAGTAACTTATAGAGTCCTTGGCAACTTCTATGCCATGGACGTATTTGAAAATAACATAATTACCATAAGCAGTTTCACAAAAAAAAATATTCATTACGATTTCTTAGGAACAAGTTACATTTAAGGGATGTTTTTTCTATACATATGTAACAACTAGACCAGAAGAAAATAGAGAAAGAAAAAAATTGACTTTGGTCTTGTGAAAAAATCTTTTGGGGTGGAGTCCCTTGAGGAAGGGTATTTTTTCTTACCATTTATTTTTATCTTTTATTTTTCTGATTTATTAATTTTCTTTCTCCTCCTTTTTGCATCAATTGGTATCAAAACTTTGCGATCCTTATATAACATTGCATAAAATATTTGAAAGATTAGAAAAATATATGACAGAATATCTTGGTAGAATAATATAAGTTCTACAAAATCTACTAAGAAAACTGCAACATAGGCAGTAAAAATATGAAGGGGTTAAAAATTTAAACCTGATCACCATTTCTAGCTTTGGTAAGGCAACACAATATGCATCAGACGTTGATCTGGTTGTAAGGCATGAAAAATTAAAGATGGAACTCATAAGAAATTTTGGCATAGAAGCTAATTTTCAAAAATCCAAATATTCTTTTTTTTTTACAGTATAGAAGGTACATCATCAAAAGCAACCAAAGAATCAAGAAACACCCCTTTCTTTGCCAATACATCTGCTAATTCGTTACCCTCCTTATAGATGTACAAGAAAGAAACTCCCAAACAAATAGCCCGATTCACAATTTGCAGCCATAATAGCTGAAGCTGCCATGGAACCCTCTGCTCTTTCTTACAAAAGAAAATGGGGTTTAAAGAATCACCCTCCACCATAAAGAGTGGTCCCCTCAATCTTTCATTAACCAACTTCATGCCTTGCAAGAGCGAAGCCAACTCAGCTAGATTAGCCGAAGCTACACCACACGAACGCCCATATCCAAAGTGAAAATAGCCAGATTGCCAAAGGAGCATCCATCGAAATTCAATTTATAGGATCCTTGAGATGGAGTCCAAAAGGATGTAGGCTGACACTTCACCCTCTTCAATTTGAAAATATGGAAAGATTGAACCGCGCATCAATTTCCGACAGCCCCTACCCCTCTTTTGTGATCGACAGCCAACTCCAAGATGTATGAAGAATGTTATTCCAAATTCTATAAAAAGGCAGTGAAGAGCCTTCAAAAGTCCTTTGGCTTCTTTCCTTCCATATCTCATAAAGAACTGCTCTTCTAATAATCATCCAGATCAACTTGCCAACCTCAGGAATATTGACAAAGGAGAATTGTGTGACAATACCTAAAATATTAGAGGGCAGCGCCCATGGCCTATCCAGCTGTATAAAACACCAATTTCAAATTCTAGAAGAAAAATGAGCGTTGCAAAAATAAGTGTTACCCAGATTCGTCTCTCTAGGTTATCATTTTTTACAGCACCTTCCCTCTCTTAATAAGATCATCTGTTATCAGAAGTTTCTCTTGCAAATCCAACTATAAAAAAGCTTGAACCGTATGGGGAATAGGCCACCTCCAAATTTGTCAAAGGTTATGGTCTCACCATCTCCAACTGTCACTAAAATTAATCAATAAACTGATTTCAGTAAAAATTGTCCATCATTTTCCAACTCCCAAACTAATTCATCTGACCCAGAATCTGATATGTAACTCATCGTCTGTCATTGGCCAATTCCAAATATGTAACTCACTGTCCATAATTGGCTCGCAGGACCGCAACTCTTTCAAAGAGCTTTGAGATTGATAGCTTCAAAGATCTATCCCCTAACCATTTGGAATGCCAGAAAGAAATATTACTCCCCTATCAACCATGCATCTAACATTTCTGTCGACATTCTGTTTTGTGGAGAAAATGGCTTTGCACATGAAAGAGGTATTTAAACTTTGTCTTCCTTGACCAATCCAAAGACCTTGCCTATCTATCGCATATTTTGCTGTTAAAATCCGACACCACAACTGATATTGGTGATGAACACTCCACCACCATTTAGATAATAGGGCTATGTTGGCCAAGGATACCCTCTTAATCACAACGCCACCTTGACCCTTTGGGGTACACACTCTATCCCATCTCAGTAAGTGAAATTTATTCGTTTATCATTATAAGAACCCCATAAAAAATTACGCATCATGAGGGCCATTTAGGGATAAACATACTTTAGATGCAAATTACACTTTTGTGATCTTTGTATTGATTTCTTTCCTCAAGTAAGCACGAACCCTAACATAAATTCCGAGCTCTAAAAAGCCCAAAAACTTGCCACTGGACCAGACAGCTAAGACTGGCCCCGCAAGTCTGAAAAACGTTTAGCCCTACCCTATATGGCGTGGCCCAAATAAAACCCCGGCACAGCCACTTTAGAAGCCCCATTTTTTCGTTTTTTCTTTTTTTGATTTGTTCTTTTTTTTTTTTAGGGTATTCACTCATCAAACTTTTCTCATTTGTAGTAAATAAATAAATAAATAAATGTATACTAAATATTTTTTTTAAATTTTTAAACCCATTCTCTCTCTAGAAACCCAATCTTTGTTTTTTATCTAAAAACGCAATCTCTCTAGAAACCCAATACCTCTTTCTCTCTCTAAAAACTCATTCTCTCTCTAGAAACCCAATCTCTCTCTCTTTATCTAAAAACCTATTCACTCTCCCAAAAAACTCAATCTTTCTTCGTCTAAAAGCCCATTCTCTATCTAGAAACCCAATATCTCTCTCTAAAATCCCATTCTCTCTAAAAACCTAATATCTCTCTCTAAAAGCCGCATTTTCTCTTTAGAAACCCAATCTTTCTCTCTCTATCTATCTCTCCAGAAACCCATATTGGGTTTATGTGGCCTTATGAGAGCTTGTATGAGCACTTTATATGATGAAACATAAACTCAGTGGGAGTGTGGTCCTCTTCTAGACCATACTAGGCAAATGCGATTTGCCGATATTTGGAGTAGGT